CCATCTCTTGCACAAGCGTGTAACCTAAGACTGTGAACTGCGACAGAGCTGTGACCATCAGTGCATCCACCTGGCCTTCGGGCAGACACTACAGTAGCACACTAAGCCCTCTCCCTTCACAGTCAATAAATAAGCCAAAGCAACCAACTCAGCTCCCACCTCGGCCCCAACTCCAGCCACTTCCGCAGCAGATAGCTGCGCATCTAACAGGCTCACTCAGCCCCTCAGGCTGCATGGCCCTGCACTTGTTGACTTTCTGGATGTACCAGCAGCGAGGACATCCCATCTCCAGAGCTTGCAGTCATGCAGTCACCCATGCCCCGGCAAGGCAGGGATCTGTGCCACTCCTCGCCCCACGCAAACCGATTCCTTCCCCACACACAAATTCTGAGAAATTCAAGCCCGTTAGGGAAGAAAATGCTCCAAGCCCAAGCGAGCAGGGAGTGATCAACTTCTCCGCACACGAGCATCAGAAGGAGATACACAGAGGCCTCTTTTGTTCCGTTCTCTGGGAGTCCCCCCAGCCCCCACACTTCCGACTTGCTACAGAACACGGGCATAGATCTGGAGCTCTGTGATGCAGGGCGAATGAGTCACTTGGCAGAAGGAACCTTCAGGAAACAGCCAAACACCTACCAAGGCAGCCAACCAAACCATGCGGTAGAGCGGTACTCTCCTCCCCCACTTAATCCAGCTCTGCTATTGCACATAAAAGCTTCTCTTCTCCCTGAGAATCAACCCAACAAACGCATTTCAGAACCACAGCAACCCCTGAGACGGACTCACCATTAACAACAAGTATTCTGTAAGGTCTCCACGGGCCCAAGGCCGCACATGCACCACTTCCCTTCCCCTGGCAGGAGAGGAAGGACACCCCTCTGTCCCTGATCAGTCTCATACCACAGGGCTGGAATTTAGGGAAGGGGCTTAATGCAGAACTCACTGTCCCCATTTCCCCCTGGGTTAGGCAGCGGGCTCAGGCCTGGCTGCAAGTTACTGGCCAAGAGAGCTGAGCCGATGCTCTGGAGGGAGGAGGGACAGAAACTGGCAGGTGCCAAGCAAACCCCTGTGGAGGCAGCTAAAGAAGAGACTGAATCCATTTCAATAGGAAAATCAAGACCTTGGAGGAAGCGGGGTTGACACCCTGCAGGCCCACTAACAGTGCCTTGCCCTTGCAGAAGGCCCCGCCTGGAGAGGCAAGAAGCCTGGGTAGGGCAGGGCCAAGGGGACCTAGGCCTGCCCCACAAAAAACCAACCCTGAAATAAAATGATGTGCAAATAGTGAGTGAAGCCCCCCCCCCCTGCCATGAGCACGAGGCTTTCCTCCCGCCCCGAGCGCTGTGCTCGCCAAGCTCTGAGCGACAGACGCAGGCTACACCGCCGCTGGAGACCGCTGCAGGGATGGGGGCGGGGAGGGCAGAATTCTAAAGGCTTTACATCAATAGAAACTGAACTGGCAGGTGCAAAAAGTCCCGGGGGTTACTGAAGAGGCCTCTCGAGCCCAGCTGCGCCGGGACGCTACAATTCCACATGCACATTGCTGTAGGATTTATCTACAGTCCATTCGTTCTGGGCCTCGGCCCCCTCTTTGGCATAGCGAGCCATCTCCTGCTGGAACTGGAGCTGGCGCCTCTTGTTGGGATCCACGTTGATCCAGTTGTTGGCAATCCATTTGGTTCCCCGCGTGACGAGGCAGCCTCCGTGCAGAGAATATTCATCCAGGTCACCAACCCAGCCTGCCAAAGGGACACAAACCATAAGAGTCACGCTGGGAAGCACTGCACTCAACTGCCCTCACGCCCGCAGCGGCTCTGGCGCAGCCCAGTGCAGACGGCCGTGGCTTGCATGGCGGCGTTATGGACTAGGGCTCCAGACAGACGAGGTGCCCAAGAACAGATTCAGCGTTTGCCCTGACGTGCGGGCACTCATGGTGACAGCATGCGCACCAACAGTGCCAGATCCTGCGAGAGAAGAACAGTGCTCCCCAGGGGTAATGCCTCTGGCCAGTGCTCCTGGTATCTGTCCCCCAGTTTCTCTCAAGTGAGCAAGCTCTGGCACCAGCATGGCACTAAGCTCCGTCGATGGCTGTCACCGCGAAGGATCGGAGTGCAAAAGCCGAGGGACAGATACACTCCCTGCGTCAGCTACTGGCCAACGTGCAACATGCAGAGATGCTCCGGTTGTCAGGAATATGGAAAAACTGCGCTGACCATGGGGAGCAGGGACAACCGCAGGGGTGGCAGCAGCTCTGGGGCGCCCTGGTGCTGGAGCAGGCGTGGCTGGAAGGAGATACTCCCACGCGCTGCAAAGCCCTGTGCAGGCAGTATCCCTCCCCACACCCAAGAGCCGAGGGCGGTCTCCCTTTCTGTCACACTTGGGCAATGCGTACAATGCATCTTGCCACCAGGACGCATGTGGAAGCGAGGCCCCGGTTTAAGCTCTCACACCCGGGGGGGGGGGGGGGGGGGCTGGAGAAGG